TGTAATGGTTAAAGAGCCAGTCTGGTTGCCCACAACTACTGAGTCGTGAGTTCGATCCTCACTGTGTGTCCCATGGTCATGGCCCAAACTAAGCTTATATGTAATAACTACAACTTGTTACAATGTGATTATTTTTAAATGTCTTTGTAAAAATATTAGGCATTTAGTGACGGGTATATTTGTATATAGGGACTTGATATCTAAGCAAGCCATGATTTTTATTTGTTTATATGGTTTTATTTTTATAAAGCTTTTAGCCTATTGATGAGATCACCGAAAATAATATCAGGAATTAACAGCGTACCACACAAGTTAGAAAAGGGACAAAAACAACAAAAAAAAGCAAACAAAAAACAAAGTTAAAATCCTTAGACATAACAAATAATAACATGGCAGACCTCGATATGCAAATATACACGTCATCAAAGAGTTTTACAAAGATATTTTAAAATCAACCTCCCACTATCAACGGAAATATATAAAATTGTATTTTTCTTTTTTTTTATTAATAATGCTTTTCATTAATTTTAGCCATTTTTTACATGTGGATGAACTCGTTGATAATACAAATATAATAACTTCATCCACATGTAAAAAATAAGGCTAAAATAATGGAAGCATTATTAATAAAAAAAAGAAAAGCCAAAACTATAATATCAACTATGAACACGGCCATCATGTGCTGACTGTGTTTGAAAAATAAAACATTCCTATATATCTATATATACATGGAACAACGCATACATCCAGTTAAAAATAAAAATAAAATCATCCTTCATAAGGCTAAAAGTAGAGCCGAAAGCACTCAAACATACAGAACATTCGGACAATTTTTACAGAATTTATATCCAGAAAAGAAAAAAATTATTCGAACAAAGAAAAAATTAAGTAAAATAACTTGACTGCAGTATGTTGTCAGTCGTTTTTAATGAAACTTGTATAAAAGAGGGATTACTGCCCAAACATACACAAATTATATATATATATATATATATATATATATATATATATAAACTGTTACATTGGAACATGCAAGTTACCACGACAAAAATGCATATTTGTTTCGACGTCTAAAGACACCTCAATAGGTGGTTAACGATGGCGGTAAAGAATTACCACCATCGTTAACCACCTGATATGCATTTTTGTCATGGTAACTTGCATGTTCCAATGCAACAGTTTATAAATATGTATAGCTCTTCTCTTGTATTGAGCTCTTCTTTAAATTAATGCTATGACCGTTTGAATTTATATTCTTCCGTTCTTTTACATTTGTATATATATATATATATATATATATATATATATATATATATATATATATATATATATATACAAAAACGATTTACAAATATTAGTTTCTAAACATTATCTTCCAGTCCTTCCAGACAACAAGCGCAATTGTGGAACATTGTCCATGAACAATATCGTTTCATAATTGCTTTTTTTTCACGGTTTATCAACCTTTTGTAGGTTATTTAAATTCAAAATATAATTGCCATTATATATATATATATATATATATATATATATATATATATATATATATATATATATATATATAAAAAATAGCGATGAGTTTTCCAGATACGAGTTTTAAAAACCTATTTTCTTAATTTTGAAGGTTATTTAAAGTAAAAATATAATTTGCATTATATATATATATATATATATATATATATATATATATATATAGAGAGAGAGAGAGAGAGAGAGAATTACGATGATTCTTCCAGATACGAGTTTTAAGAAACCTATTTTCTTGAAAAAAATTTTTTAAGAGAAAGATTTTTATAGATCACGACCGAAAGCAGTACTGGCTGCTCGGTCAATAGATGTCGAATTTTTCCAGATAAGGAAACGGCTGATATTACTATTTTAATTATCATAAGTCAATATAGGACAATAACGGTGTATTTGAGGTGATGGGGTGAATAGTACGGGGAAAATTCATACTTCTTTGGAAGAAGTTTACCCACGTTGGTATCAATTTTATATTTCAACCGAAAACAGTACTGGCTGATCGGTCAATGAATGTCAAATGTTTCCTTGTAGGGAAACGGCTAATATTACCATATCTTGATATTGCCGTAGCTTGATAATGACAAGAGCCATTTGAAAGCTCGAAACCTTAACAAGAACAAACTTGAATTGTGGACAGTTGCTTCATACCTTCAACGCCAAGATACGGTAACTGATCCGCCATCAAGTAAAAATATAAGCGACATAGCTTGTTTGAATTAACATTTATATTGATATTTGTATCAACCCAATAGCAAATATGGCCAACCCGAATATATAAATATTTAGGTTGACCAAAAAGTACGTTCAGTTTAAGTAAATTTTCAAACGAAAATTTTTGACCAACACAATATATATATATATATATATATATATATATATATATATATAAAAAGAGTGTGAATGCAGAAAAATATCCCCTTTAAATATTCATTTTTTTTTTTAACTAGCTGTTCTACAATTTTATTACTGCTGATTTTTATAATAAGTCTCGGATTTCCGTCTGAATTTTTGCGATGCGTAGTTACAATTAATTCTATGCTAACAATTTCTTCTCTCGCACTTCCCGCTTGTGAAATTCCCTTCCGGCTCCGTGATTTACAGTCAACTTTAATGTGAAAAAAATTAAATACAATGTCAATCGCTATCTACTGTCCTTTTGATTACTTTTTTCTCTTCTCGCTCATTATTAATAGTTCTGTTCCTAATTTTTCTACGCCCAGCAACTCCTTGTGCCTTAGTGGCTTTACTGCTTTGCTTGGGGTGAAACCGATTAAAAAAGATATTTTATACTATTTACATGCGAACTATTATCCTCATCTTTGTTGTTGTTATATATTACTTCAACCGTTGCATCTCTCCCCCGGTCTTAATCAAATGTATGTTACCCAGATCGAAATACACATGATGAAGGCCGAAGAGTGCAACGGCCAAAAACAGTGTGATAACAACAACAAAGATGAGGCTAATAGTCCGCATGTAAATAGCGTAAATAAATCTCGGATCGTTTTAACATTCTACAATCGTTAAGTTGCTTCTGCTAGAAATTTTTTCCTACGTAATTTCTCAGGAAAATGGAACTCCTACATAAAATCAGAAAGAGAAACATATTGAGGAAGGACGGCTTGGAAAACTTAATACTCACAAGATATATTGAGGGAAAGATGTGGTAGATGGAAACCGCGGAGAAACTTAGCTAATTAATTCGTATGAGTGGATGACAGAGCAAGGACAAGGATGAAGAGTAAAACGTCAAAGATTGTTTAGATCTATAAAGGACAGGAAGTTGTGGAGATACATGAACTCCCATATCCTGAAGGGACGCGGATTATAAGCGTGGATAATTGCTTGCTTAACGTTCTAAGAGTGTAAAAGAGATCTGAGGGTTTTGACAAAAAGCAACAAAAATAAGATGACAGACAAACTAGCCGACAATTAATTATGTCAACGCTTCGCCTGAAAAATTACGACGCCTTCAAACATCATCAAATAGAGCGATACTGATACAGAAGGCCGTGTACCTATGTTTCATAGACTATGCAAAGGCCTTCGACAAAGTACGCCACAAGGATCTGATGGAACTGCTCAGTAACCTTGTTATATTCGGGAGGGATACCAGAATAACCAAGAACCTATACTGGCAGCAAACAGAATGCATGTGCATAGGCAACGAGTTCATTGAATATACAAAAAGGGGCATAAGGCAAGGATCCGTCTTCTCAGCCGACATGTTCAACCTATACAGCGAGGCAATTCTGAGAGAATTGAAAACCCTACCGGAATTTAGCATTGGCGGCCACAATCTTAACAACATAAGATACGCAGATGACACAGTACTGATAGCAGACACGGAAAAGAAATTACAAAATTTCCTACAGAAGGTAGCGACGGAGAGTGAGAAGAAAGAACTAAGCATGAACTACAAGAAGACAGAGTGCATGGTCGTCATTAAGAGGATGAATCCGAAAAGCGATTTGCAGGTCGGTAACACTAGAATCAAGCAGACAGAGGACGGTAAGTGCGACACTGAGATCTGTAGACGTATTGGGATGGCAAAGGACACATTTCAAAAGCTGGGCAGAGTATTGCAAGACAGGAGGATTTCTTTGGTAACAAAGAAAAGAATACTCAGCTGTTACGTGACATCTGTCCTTTTTTACGCCAGCGAATGTTGGACGATATCCGCAAGGATGAAGAAGAAACTCGAAGTGACAGAGACGTGGTTCTACAGAAGGATGCTAAGGATATCATGGACCGAGCATGTTAGCAACGATGAGGTATTAGAGAGGATGCAAACAAGGAGGAGGCAGCTGAAGTTTCTGGTACACATAATGAGAAAGAAGGTCCTGGAGAATCTGATACTCACGGGTCGAATAGAGGGAAGAGAAACAAGGGAAAACAATGCGTGACATAACTGGCGGGCTTAAGCAAGTGGATTACAGAACGTGGTCTGGGGAAGGAAGCAGAGGGAAAGAACTTGTTGGGAGCTGCAAGAGATAGAGGGGGGTAGAGAGCCATGATCGCCTACGTCCTGAAAGGACATGGCACGCAAAAAGAATAATAATAATAATATATTTAGCTTAATATTCTTTTCTGTAATCGATCGTGAGTTTTGAAAAACCGATTGTAAGCTTGGAATTGCGTGTGGTGTGATGGATAAGCGGAGTTCCAATTCCAGTCGGGTTCATTATAGTTACTTATACACAAATGCCCCTGCGAAAGGTACGAATCCATCTCCCCACCCCCGGCCTTGGGATAATTAGTAAGATTATGAGTAGGTACTTTAATGTATTGCCCCTCTTATCCTCAAAAATCCCAACGCATTTTCGCTAAACGCAAGTTTCATTTCAACCTGAAGAAGCTGAACCAGACGTCGGCGAAACGCGTCGTTTATAAGCTTTTCCGCTTTGCCCCGTCATCTCTACATTAATAGGACGTGTATCGGTAAATCATTACTAGGTGCGGCTGACATAAAGAGCTTACGACCATATCACGTTGAAACAGCGGTTCTCGTACGATCACCGAAGTTAAGCAACGTTGAACCTGGTATATACCTAGATGGGTGAACGCTTGGGAATAACAGGTGCTGTAAGCATGGATGTGCGGCTGGTGTAAATGATAACGTCACGGAATTGGAAATCGGAGAGCCAAGTTTCGATTCCAATCTCGTTCGTTATATTCACTTACGCGCAAATACCTTTGGGAAAGATTCGAATTCGCCCCTTCTCTCTCCCAACTATGGATTAATTAGTAGGATTAATAGTAGGTAATTAATAGCACTAATAGATGGTAATTTAAATTATTGCCTCTCTTATCTCCAAACAGCCAAACACATTTTTCTTACACAGTTTTGTTTTCCATTCCGACCTGAAGAAGCCGAGACCAATAGACGTTGGTGAAACGCGTCGTTTATAAGGCTTCCCGCGTTGTCTCATCATCTTCACATCAGTAGGACTTGTATAAGTAAATCATTATTATCTCAGAAAAATTAAAATTTAAAAATATTTGCTGCTTTTAAATAATCTGCAAAAGGTTGATAAGCCGTAAAAAAAGCAACAATCGATAATCAATCAAATTAGGCAATTCAAAACATCTCGTAATTTAAATGATATTCAATCACTGCTTGGCATAATCAATGACATAAAACATCCGTCTCTGGGAGTGGGGTAGAATTGAGGCGCGTTTTTATTGGTGCAAGTGACAATACCAAAATTTATTAAATTACATTTTTAGTGAATATCGCACAATAAATTTATTATTTTTGCTATAAACATAAATTAATATAACAAGCTTGAATGAAATAAATAAATCTTATTTTTAGGGGAAACTGATTTACTTCCCCTATAAAGGACAATAACTGAAAATACAATTCAGTTACTTCCCTTGTCCGCTACGCGAAATGGGCACTTCTGAATTCAACATGGTGACAAGCTGACATACACGTGGAATTCATGCTTTAAATCCAAACAGATCCTTGCTGTTTTCAGGCGGTAAGTGAATAAAAGTTAATTTATTATGTGTCTTTCATTTTCATTCCTTCTTGTTCATCCCAACAACATCAGATATAACACATATACTTAAATAAATAAAGAGTATTAAATAACTTATTCCAAGTGTAAAAGCAAAGATTTGTTTGAAATTTTTTAAGACAGCAGCGAACTGGCATAAACCCAAACCGAATGTAAAATTTGTCATCTCCAGTGGAACAGCGAGCTTTTAAAACAGGTCTCCAGTTTTGGCTCTTAGTTGCACTATGAGTAGGTATGTAGTATAGAACGCCATCGACACGCCACGTAAATAAACATGCTGAGCATCATCAAGCTGTCATGAGCCGAACATTAAAGCAACGAGGAGATTTTTAAAGTAAAATGGGCACGGGAAAGACACCCATACTTAAACTCAGAAAGAGCCATTTACAATTGATGGGGCATATTATAAAAAAAGAAGGCTTGAAAAATTTAACACTCACATGATATATTGAGGAAAGAAGTGACAGAGGGAAACAGCGAGTAACTAACTGTCATATAGGAAGAAAACGAGGTTCGAGCGTGATACTCTGGACTTATGAATATACTTTTTCCACCAGATGTATAAATAGCGGTGTCAGGCTACTGACTGCGGTGATTATTGAGTGGAGCTATCAAGTCGAATTAGTGTGAATTATTGTGTGTCGATGATTTGGGTTTTGATTTAGGATTTATCGGACGTTAAGCCGAGCCGCGATACTAACAAGGTATTGAATGAAATGATTAATTATCTTTGGTTGAATTTTACTTCTTTGTTCTTTTAAAGTATTTATTTGCGGTTGTAATTAAATACTGTTTTAACGTATCCATTGAAGTCTTGAGTTATACTTAATCATTAACGCCCACCGTACGTCACAAGACTTACCTAATGAGAGCGGAGTCCAAGAGGAATGGTAACGAATCGAGCTTAGAGCTACAAGAGATAGGAAGCTGTGGAGAACCGTGGTCACCCACGTGCTGATAAACATTAGATGAACGCCGATAATACAAAGTAAAGCTATATGAGTTTATCGTAATTGTTGGCGTCACAGAAAAATGAAATCGGCGAGCCACGTTCAAATTCCACCCAAGTCTGTTGCTTCCAGTTTCGCACTTTTCAGATGGACTCATGCTTTTGGGAAAGACACGAACCCATCTCTTCTCCCACGCTATGGGTTAAATGGCAGAGTAGACAGCGCTCTCTAGTCGTGACTACTAGAAGTGGCACTTTGGATTACAAACCGTGGAGAAGGCAATAGGAAATTACTCTACCATCTTTTTTTTTTTTTGTATTGTTGAAATTTGAATAAAGCATGGAATAATAATAATACAACACAAAATGTACTTAAACAAAATGTATTGACACAAGAACGTGTACACAATATTTACAGATAGTTTGGTATATTCTTGGGAAGACCGTTCCTGTAGAATGGGTTGATCGTAAGCATTACTGTAAAAGAAACTATTCAATTCAAGGAATAAGAATTGGTTAAAGAAGAAGTACTTCACCTGATGGGAAGAATGGTCTAAAAGCCACAAACAATGACCCGTTATTTTTAAATATTCCGGGAGGTACGCACATCTGGTAGTAACCATAAGTCAAGTTTTCATGGGAAAACGCGGTCCGGTAATCAAAAGAGTCGTTATTTGGCGGGGTCAGAATTTGAAAGTATGTTTCATATCCAAGAACATCCAATCTGGAATTCACAGGGGTTAGTCGAATGCAAGCAAAGTCGGTCTTGGATCTATACAGGAATCGATGATAAAATAATCTGGCCTGATCGCCTGCAATGAAATTTGGCGTTTCCGGAGGTGGCATTTGTGACAATTTTCCAAACTTGATGACAAACGATCGATTTGTCGTGGTCTCGTTCCCCATTTTCACAATCATAGTTGGCTGGGATATTAGTGATGATCGCATATCTTTGTCGTAGGTATAGAGTTTCTCGTTGGTTGTCAAAGCCTGAAGAAAGAGAAAAATATGTATACTATATATATATATATATATATATATATATATATACAAATTCATGAATTATTCACACAAAAACAAATGCAAAGGTTAATGATTTAATTGGGGAGAAATCCATCGTCGCAAACAATTCAAATAATATACAAAACCTCCGAATCCTTTATGAATGAAAAGATCCTTGTTTCTATAAATTTCTGCCATATAGTTCATGCCACTTTGACAGAAAATTTACCAGTAAAAAATTCGTTTATCACCATATTTGTACATGAACGCACAACTGTAAAAAATTTAAAATCAAACTCAGCGTTTCAAATTGCACGCTTCAAAAACAATAACTTATTTCCAATAGCATTTTCGGATACAACAATACATATATTTTCGTTGTCCTCTTATTACTAAGAGAAAAAACAAGAACAACATCTATTCCATACCTGAAGATGTCTGTAGGGACAGACGAAAGCTTATAGTAAAAATAAGAACTAATACGGCAGAAATTTATAGAAACAAGGATCTTTTCATTCATAACGGATTCGGAGGTTTTTGTATATTATTTGAATTGTTTGCGACGATGGATTTCTCGCCAATTAAATCATTAACCTTTGCATTTGTTTTTGTGTGAATAATTCATGAATTTGTAAATTGATTGCACGTTTATCGAAATATATATATATATATATATATATATATATATATATATATATATATGAAAGAGGTTACAGTAGTTCCAACAAGAGAAAATTGTGTATATTAAAAAGAAGATCGAAACCGCAAACGTTTTAGGTTCTAAGGTGGATTTTAAAAAAATATTATGCTTTATTTTCTTCAATTTTGCTACGTGTTTCTGGTCTCGACACCGTCATCAGACAAAGGGTGGAGATTTCCACATATTATTAAAAATAATTTTTTTTTTCCTTTATGTTTTTCAATGTTAAATATTCTCGATATGAGACATTCTATTTTTCTGTGTTAGTGACCCAAATATCTTTCTTGAACTGACAGTGAAGAGTTCTGCGTGAAGGGTTATAAAACAATTAAGATTGGTCCGAAAAATGGAGCAGTTATCGGCATTCTTATTTTTTAATGACTCCTGTGTGTTCTTAGATCTATTTCCATTTTCGTATGTTTTTGTCAGCATGCATGTATATATGTGTATATCCACTCTCCATATATATACAATTGCAATATACATTAAATCTAAATTTGAACTGAAGATAAAATTATTCATTGAAATGAAAATCATAATAAACTTATGGCATTTTTTTTAATCGAATTCACCAAAAGCAAGGTAATAAAACATCTAAGACAGAAGGAACGAGTGTGGAAGAATTAGAAAACAGAAAACTTTATTAAGGAGCGAGAACAATAGAAGAGTAACCGGGAAAACAGTAGATAACGATTGACATTGCATTTAAATTTTTTAAAGATCAAAGTTGACTGGAAAGCATGGAGCCGGAAGGGAGTTCCACAAGCGAGAAGTGCGAGATAAGAAACTGTTAGCATAAACCTTACGGTCACATCTAGCCAATTCAACTGAAATTCATGATATCTTGTTCATTATCTAATATTGCACTTCAATTCATAAATTCTAGGTACCATAGTTCAAAGCTCATCCGAACAAATACCATGAAAGTATTTATAGAAAAACGACAAGGAGGCAACATTATGACTGTTGGAAAGTGAATGAAGCCCTAACGCCAGGTCAGAACCAATAATATTGCTAATTCTTCTTTTATCAAGAATTTCCAAATATATAATAGGAACACCAGAAAATATGTGGCAGCAATAGTGTTGTAGAGTAGTTTTCACAGTGGAGGCTTGTATTTCACTAAGTCGGTCCTAAAAGGGTCCGACGTACAAAACGTTAGGAACTTAAAATAATAGTTAATGTCGCAGCAATCAATTGTGGTCGTTGATACTTCAATTTCCGACATCGACTGACTCACTCAACTCCACCGAGCCCAACTGGCGACCGATACTACTACTACTACTTATTATGTGTGGGAGAGTCTATTTACAATAGAAATAGGTACGTTCCGGTATAACAAATAGTCGAAGCATAGACGAATGATAGACTTATAGATATGTAAGATAGATTCTGGAGGAAAAAAGTGTCTAG